TGGATCTTTAGTAAGTTGGATTCTGGATTCCAATCTTTAGTAGGATTCCGGATCCCTAGTGCTGGATTCCGGATTCCAAAGCCCAGGATTCCGGATTCCACAAGCACAAAATTCCTGGATTCCGGAATCCGGATTCCCTTACATGGGGCGATTGAATCAGTTACCCTTAAGAAATTTTCGCAGTGTTACGGTCTCCGTAAATTATTTAGACAAAATACATGCTTTTCTTTATTTTAGACTATCAACTGATTCTATTTCTCATTGTGTCCTTATCTATCTCTATCTACCTTCTGTCCTTATACAATTTCTTTTTTTCAAACGTAGAAATTAATTTTATTCACTCCTGAAAATACATAATTACGTACCATTGACATTAACCATACAGCTGGGCTGAGTACAATAGCCTTTAATCAACGCACTTGCATTCCTGCGTGCTTTTGTCTTTGAAATCTTATAACAAATTCATTATTTGCACCATATTTGTACCTCGTTGCGTTCACACCATCCTAACTGAGGAGCACGTTCTTCACACCAGCTTGGCCAAGCATTCAGATTTTTGTGTGAAATATGCCTTTAAGAGAAGGATACCACAAACTTGACGAGAGTCTAGTCTTGGAAAGCAATGAACGCAGTAAGAGCCTCGATGAGACCATAGAAGACCTGAAAAAAATTTCAACTATGGATTCTTTCTGGAACGCGTGTAACTCGGTCCAAGGTATCAGCATCTTATCCATGCCTTTGGTAACGCTCTTTGGAGGGTATTGGTTCATAATTGGTATCATAGCTGTGGCTGTCATCTCTAACCATACCTCGAAGATATTGATAGAATGCCTGTACGAAGAATTTCCTGGTAAAGGCCGTATACGTGTGCGTAATACGTTTGCAGACATCGGAGACGCGTTCTGGCCCAAATACGGAAGGCACATGGTTGATGTAACGAAGTTCCTTGAACTTATATTTATGGCAACAATTTATCCTATAGCCTGTGGAGAGGCCGTTTACTACACTTTTCCATTTCTTCCAATCGGAAAACAAATTTGGATCCTTATTTTTGGCCTGGCTATGTTACCAAACGTTTTTCTCAACTCAGTGAAGTTGCTTTCCAAGATAAGTATGGTGACCATCTCTTTTGCCTTCGCAACATTCGCCATAGTAGTCGCGTACTGTCTGGGTCAAAGCGCTTCGTGGAAATCCCAAGATTTGCTGGTTTTCGATCCGCTACGGTTCCCACTGTCTCTTGGTGTAGTACTGGCTGGTTACTCGTCTCAAATCTACCTCACGGTTCTCGAGGGCAACATGCGGCACCCAGAAAAGTTCAACAGTGTCATAAACTTCGCTTATCTTGCCATGACCGTCCTCAAAATTGCCGTGGGAATATTTGGTTACTTAACTTTCACAGACAGCGTCAGTGACATGGTATCTAACAACCTCCCCCAAGGTGCTTACCGTACCATCGTAAACATTGTTGTAACAGTGCTGTCCTTCATGGGATACTCCCTTCCCATGTTTGCGGTATTCGACATGACGGAGAGATCAGTGCCACGGTGCTTGACGGCAAGGTTTCTGAATCATGACGGTAGCCGACCTGGCATGGCATGCGTGGTTCTATTACGGTTGACGCTGACCGCCATTACTATTCTCATGGCTATACTCGTTCCACACTTCACGTTGTTCGCAGCATTTATCGGCAGCGGTACGGGCACTGCCATTGCAGTTATCTTCCCTTGCATTTTCTACTTGAAAATTTTCTACTGGCAGCTCAAGTGGTACCAAGTTATTCCAAATGTTTTTATCGTGTGTTTTGGAGTACTGATGTCAGCTTGTGGGATGATTTCAACTGGACGAGAGCTCTTTATAACCCTTAAACAGGACTCAGACTACTGAAACGCGGTTTTACTGGTACAAACTTCGAAAAGACCCAAACGCGCATTTACAAAACAATCAAAGCATAAAATCAATGACTTGGTGTGTTTCAGTTTCAGTGACGACGATGCACGTCTTTACGACCCACTCATAGTGTAACTGGAGGAAAGTATAGCAACCGCCAGGGTACCGCTAGGGTAACATACTTATTAAATCTTGTTTCCGTTTTAAAGGTAAACAATTGCTTGCCGATCGTTAATAGTTATGTCGAGTTTAGTGGCTGTTGTCGTTTTTAAAGCCCACCAAAAGAAAAAAAAAACGTCACCAGAAAATTTGTTCAAGTCTCCTTGCAATTCAGGGTGTAATTTTAAATCAAAGCAAAAATCAATAAATGTAGTTCTAAAAAAACCTTTCTACTATGGTTGAACCTATATTAATCAAGGTAATACTCGTGACTCGACGCTGTACATTGGCAAAAGTAATTCATAATTCTGACTTGGACAATAAAAACATCAACTAGGTTCCAGAAGGGAACTTTGATGGCAAAGAAAAAAGGAAGATATAGGGTTAACGGGTGCAACGCGCTCTAGGTTGACTGGGTCTCGTAAAAGAAACTATTATTATAAAATTTGCTCTTGATTTAAAGGTAATAGAATACACACAACAAAAGAACCAAATGCTATTCAGTTTATTAAATAATTTGAACATTGATCCCAATTTCCCACCCTTTCCGTTGCTAAGCAACATCACCTTTTCGAAATTAGCTTAATTCTAATCCTGAATAATGGGTATCATATAATGAACGAAATATTCGATTTCTAAGTCCTTTTTTAAGCTTAATTTCCGTTACAATATTATATGAGAAGAGGAAATTAACAACGATCTCTTGACTTGAGATTCACTGGGGCTTAATTCAAGCAACTTGTATCGCTCAGTAAGAGGAATCCATATTCAGAGGATGCAACCTGACATTGAAACCTTTGCCTCTTAAAAAAGACAAGTCATAATAAACGGAGACATCTTTCAAAGCGTGCCCCAAATGAGTGTGACTAAATGAAGAGAGAATTAAAACACAAGCAAGAAATAATATTGATTTGACGACGAAAATTCGAAGGAAAATATAAAATTTCCCTTCTTTACAGACGAAGTGTTACAACAATGCTGTCATAAGTGTGTGCATCTGTAACAGTTTGACTGAAAGGTGTCTTAGTGGTGATCAAAAAACCACTTCATTAGCTTCAAATGGTAGTCTGTTTTAAGCTACAAGCAATGAAGTCAGCGGGATCAACCGGACATTAGTAAACTTTTACACTGTTAATGTAAATAAGCTAAAATACACACATTTGTGATTGAATTTCTTTACATCGAAATTTATTCCAGCTTTACTGGACTTTTCCCAAATGAAATTTGTTCTTTTCGTGAATAGAATTTAAAGAATATTTTTAATTTCTTCTTAGGTTTGTTTTTTGCTATTACGTTATAAAACGAGTGCGCCAATTCATCTATTATACTCCAAATTAGTGATTAACGATACTGTATCTCCCGTTCTCAAACTCATTAATAATTCATTAAGAAAATACAAAGGAAATTAATGTTTAATGAGTGTTTGGAAATCGGATGAAACACTGCTTAGTATTTGCATCCTTAATTTCTCCTTCAAAAATGATTTTGTTTGTTTCATCACCAGATGAAACACCTCGAAGTTCGTCAAAAATACTCCGCTGCGCGTCGTATTTTCAACTCTCTTCTCGGTGTTTCATCTGGTGATGAAACACTGCATCTCATGTTTGATATATTACTTCTTGTTGTTGAAGGCAATTATCGCCGTTGTGTTTGGCACAGGCACTAAAAGACTTAAACAGGCACAAAAGACTTAAAAAGAGTGCAAACTTCAAACAATTCAAAGAGTGCTCCTGACCTAAGTTGAGATTAACATTACTATTTAGCTTTACGATCAAATTAACATAACAGCATCCCATAAATTGATAACAGATAGATTACCGTCCAATCACGTGATGGGTTGATCAAGAGTCTATGTTTAACATAAAGCGGCAGAAAAGGAACGGAAGTCAGTGAGTGTTTCCTGTTACAGGCCAGGAATTCCGACAACTACGTGCTAATTACAGAGCTGCGCAAGTACAACGACAAACAAAATTGAAAACATTGGCAACTGAACGAAAAGCATTTCTTGGGCTATGTGGCTTGTGAATGCTACCAGTGATAAAAAAAAAAAACAGCCGCCCTTCCTGCAGGGAGACAAAAATTCACAGACTGAATACTGACAGGCGTCACCCAACCCCACCCTGGAGCGTGCCGGAGAGCTTGCGCGCAGATTATCGCTCGGCTTCTAACACACGATATCAGGTTAGAAATGGATTTTATCTTAAACATGTCTGGCAGACGTTTTCATGCTACTTACTCTTATCTTAAAAACCTTGCATAAAACTAGCCTTACCTTCATCTGTCTCATTTTTTTTTTCCTTGAAAAAATATTACTTGATTTCTTAGGACAAACCAAACGGACTAATTTTGATAGGGCGTGACCAAGGCTGAGTAAACCAATTCAAAGCACGCTTAAGTCGTTATTTACTCGAATAAGAGCCGCCCCCAATTAAGCACCGCATTTGGTGATTTAGGATAAAAAAGTTAAGTAAACGCCCCTCCGGGAATTTATAAAAATCAAAAGACGTTAATACTGTTAGTATAATAAAACCGTAGCTTAAACAATTCTTTGTCGCATCAAACTTTCAAATAAACATGGCCCTATAAGCATCACACTGAGGCGTGAGGCTTAACTTGCATATTCGATTGGAGGAAATTTGCCTAGTCCCTAGGCCTCGTTATTTCGTGCGGCCAAAGCGTTTCGGGTCACGTGGTCCAAGCGAAGATGTGAAGAATTTTATGATCGTTTTTGACTCAAAGTTTCTTAGGGTTACCTTATTTACTCGTTCCCTAGTCCCTGTACGGCGTTTTCCCAGTCCCTCTCGGTCAATTCACTTCGGTTTGCCTAGTCCCTAGGCCTCATTATTTCGTGGGCCAAAGCGTTTCGGGTCACGTGGTCCAAGCAAAGATGTGTTTCCCGCCCGTTCGCCTCGGATATAGACTGCAAAACAGTGGTTTTTTCCCCTCAAAATTAGTAAAAAAAATCGGTAAAGCGTGGCGTAAGAGTCTTACGCGCGCGAAGCTCTCTGTTTTCAGCCTCGTTCCAGATTTTTTGCTTGACCACTCGCGCGTACTTGAATACGCAAAAATACGGACTGTTTTGCAGTCTACCTCGGATACGTCGCCGAAGTGAATTGACCGAGAGAACCTGGGAAAACGCCCTACAGGGACTAAGCAACCAGTAAATAAGGTAGCCCTAAGAAACTTCGAATAAAAAAAATATCATATCTTGTTAATTCTTCCTACCCAAAAATTTGACTTTGGCTGATTTTAAATGATTGCTAAAACTGAAAAATAGCTTTGCTTCATAACAGAACAGCCACTCCTACATTGTCCCTGGTTTTAAAAGCAGTATTCGACCAGGCCCAGACGTGATGGGACGTTAACCAATGTTTCATACCTCTAACATTACTTTTCTTCTACACTAATCTGTACTCACTTAGCTTTCATAGAAATCTTCGGCGCCATTTATTATTAAAGCTTTGTAGAAAAGGATTCTTCACTTTCTACAGAAGTGATTAACTCTTGATAATCAGGTGGATCGCATTCCTGACCGCATGGAATTTTTAACAGTTCTTGTCCAAGCCCTGAGATTGGCCTTACTTTATGAAATTCAACTAACTCTTTGAGCGTCTGGTGTGCAATTTGATTATGACCAAAAAACTGGTAAGTGTTCTCACTGGTATCAACAAGGTAATGTTTGCAGCGCTCAGGAGCTCGGTAAGTTATGGTGTATCCCCACACACGCTCACTCACACGAACCAAAAACGATCCAGGAGGCTTGTTTACAAGTAAATTTTCAGCATCTTGTCGAGAGATTATACCTGAAAAGAAAAGAAAAGTTACGTTAACTTCCCAAGGCTAACAGTTTCGCATCCAATAACGCACATGTCCTTCACTTTTCGCATTTATTAGCTCGAGCAGAGGGTTAGCGCTCCAAATGTCAGCATTCAAATCTCTTACGGTACTTTATCATCCAAGTTTAGACTTCATCTTGGATTTTCGTTCCTGCTGCCTCTTACGTAGGCACCTTAAAAAGCCCGAGTCCCTCTTCTTTTGAATCAAAAGGATTATTATTCTCGTTACTTCAATCGTCAAAACCATTGTTTTATTAATTCTTTAACTAACGTTGGCTCTCACCGTGAAAATAGGGCAATATTTTATCTCCATCATAGCAAATTCTCTTGGAGAGCTCTTCTTGTTGAAACCAATCGATGACATTCTTTCGGTTTTTAGGCTTGACACTCCTTCTGGGCCTCATTGGGCTGGTGCCGGGAGGTGGTGGTCTGGGTGGAACCTCCGAAGTTTTGTCTCCAGGTCTGGTGATTGCAAAACAAACAAAATGAGAACGGAACTTAGAATTACTGTGCTTCAAAAGAGAGGAGAAGGGCGAACTATCTGTACAAAAACAAAATAATCATACCACGTTGGCTTCTGTTAAGTCAAACATTGGTACACGCATGTATATGTTCGCTTCTTTCGCTGAAAACTTTATCTACTCTGATTATTTTTTGTTCAGCTGGTTTTCTATAAAATACTTCTTAAAGTGTTTCACAGATTTCTGCCACAGATAAATGACGGTCTACCTAAATAGTTATGGTGACCTTTTGCAAAAATGTCACTCCCGTTTTCAAGATTTTTTTCTTGATGCACGACGTTGTAAGTAATTTACCAGGCAAGGCCACAAGGCCATTGAGGATTGGAGTTATCACGATCACCTTTGGGTGCTTTCTAGGAGAAGGGGTGGGGTGGGGGGGGGGGTGCTTTGGGAATGGGAAAGGGAATGGGCGTGGGAAAGTTTACAGCATTAACCTAGGGGAATGAGGCTTTCTACAGTACTTACCTGGGTGGGATGGGTGGTGGTGGTCTCTGTGGTTTTATACTCCATGTTTGTCTCCTCTCCCCTGGGGCGGATACCATCCCCTTTTCAATCAATATAGTGGACCACCTCTTGGCTTCCTCTCGCTCTCTTGCCACCTCCTTACGCGCAAGACTGACCGAGCTGCGCCTTCGTTGTTCTTCTTCCTTCGCTTTCTCCTCCTGAAGTATCCACGCTTGCTCCTCTTTTTTCCTCTCATCCTCTTCCTTCTGTTTAATCTCTTCACGAACCTTTCTCAAGCTCATGTAAATCTCTTGCGCCCGTTTGGTTTCGTTCTCCAAGAGTTCTTTTTCTCGACGTTCCTTTTCTGCTTTCCTTTGCTGTAAGCGTGCTATAACTTCTTTCTGTTTTCTTTCTGCCTCTTTTTGCTGTTCTTCGACTCTTCGTTTCTCTTCTTCCAGTTGCCGTGCCTTTTCAATGGCCTCCTACAAAATATATCAAACTTATTAACTACAAATTAACACCTTGATTTCTCTGCACGCTAATTTGGATTCTTATTCATAGTATTTGTAAACCACTATGTGATGCGGCCCTCTTCATTAAAGATTAATTAAGTAATTGTTATCATCTAGTTAGTTAGTTGTTAGAAGTGAAAAATTGTCTTGCCTTTTCAATGTGCAGTATGGCTTCCACGGTCAATTTTGTGCGTACATGTAAAATCTAGCCTAAGAGGGGCCAAATTATGTGCAGATACACTAAGCCATATAAAATCCTAATATTAGAATTCTTAAAGGCGCTAGCTACTCTCTTCTCTACTTTGTGTTTTGACAAAATGATTCTGGAATTAATCTTAAGTTTTAAATCTCAGGGAAATCACTCTCTCTAACACGGACAATCTTCAGACCACCGCACCAAGAGGTCAACCTAGATGGTGTCTGCAAAGTATGCCAAAAGGTTGGTCAACGACATTGCAACTTACCCTAGGTTGTTTTATGCCGTACAATAAATTCTCAATTACAACCAAAAAAAAAAGAAAAAAAACATTTCTAAAGATATGCCGTCACGCAAAAGGAAGAATCCTTTGGAGAGTTTCAATTTTGATTTGAGAGCCTGGGTAGGGTTGCAAAAAACATTTTAAGATTAACGGAACTCGTAAATATTATTTCAAATAAATAGGTTATTGTTTCAGAACAAAAGTTAAGAGTCCTCTTATCTTAAGAAGGTTTTATGCAACCTAGCCCTGGTTCCATATAGGAACTAATGAACTTTACTTAGGACGAGTGGAAACCAGATTTCACCTTACATTCCTTCGATCTGATCAAAAGGTTAATCTTAAAATCTTTCCTTGATCATACCAGTTTCTCTCATACAATATACAGCTATTCTGCTCTCTGCTACAATCGTATCGTTCCTTTAACATTTCCTGCAAGCGTTTCAACCTGCGTAAACTTTATCTAACTAACCGGATATTGTCCATTCTTTCTATTCAATACTAACTTTCTTTTACGCAAATGACATCACCTGTTCTGCTTTTTTTCTTCTTGCTTCTTCCAACGCTTTTTCTTTCGCTTTCCTCTCTTCTTCAGCTTTCCTTCTTGCTTCCTCCGCTTTTTTTCGAGCAAGTTCTTCTCCAGCTTTTCTTTTCTCCTCTTCTAATCTTTTCTTTTCTTCATCTGCCTTCCGCTTCTCCTCGATTGCTTTGCGCTTCTGCGCCAGCTCAGCTTGGATTTTTTTCTCTTCTTCCTCACGGCGTTTTCTTTCTTCTTCCATTCTCCGTTTTTCCTCATCTCTCTTACGCTGTTCTTCCTCTCTTTGCCGTCTCTCTTCTTCTTTTCGCTTCTTTTCTTCCTCTTTTCGTAGCTCTTCGGCTTTTTTAGCAGCAATTCGTGCTTCCTAGAATAACATAAACATGCAATTACGCTTTAGTAATTAGGTCAAATGACCTTCAGGTGTATCTCATGCAAATCCAATAGGTCATTTGACCCCGATAGGTTATGGTAGGATAGATAATGAGCTACAACACTAAAAATACCAGGGATTGAAAGAACATAAAACAAATAGTGGTTCTGTGAAGTTTTAAACAGTCTACAGTGCGATTTTAGGGTGGTTTGACGGCGAAAACCTCACGTGTATCAATGCACGCCTTGCAATGCATGACTTGAAGATGATGACCTTTCTTGAACAAAAACATTATGTGAAATACCTCGGTGTTTTGATTGATAGTCACCTCTCTTGGAGGTACCACATGGACTATATTTAGGGGTAGGAATCATTGCCAGGCCTAGGCATTTTATGCCTACCGGTACTCTCTTAAAGCTTTATCGTTCCTTCATCGAACTGTACATTTCTTATCGACTAACTGCAAGGGGACAAGCTGCCAATTCAAATCTGAACAACACTCTTTTCTGACAGCACAGCTCATGCCATTCCTCTATATTATTATCTTTTTTTAGAAGTGGTGTAGCATTTGGAACAAAATCCCTTTTGCGTTACGTGAACAGCGCAAAGACCCTTTCAAGCGTAAACTATATAAGTTACTGGTCAAAGTTTTGGAGACTGAGGAGGTGTTTGTTGATATGAGTGCCATTACCAGTTCCTACCTGAACTCCTTATTCAGTTAAAGTGTTCTCCTTCCTTATACCCATAGTTTTATTTAGTATCGAAATTGTTATAGTTTTACCATTTTAAATACTTGTATTTAGTTATTTATCTAGCTTATTTCATTTTATTTTTGCTTTTTCTTTTCTTTTTTTTCCCGACTTTTGAATCTTGAACTTTACACTTATTTATAGGAGACTATTATTGTATTGTTGCCCACCTAGAATGGCTCCACTGATTGTGGGTAACATAATCCTAAATTACTTGCAAATTCAATAAACTGTGGCTGTTGTTGTTGCATGCTCTACCAGCAATTTTCAACTATGACATTGAGTACAAGAATGCGAAAATGTCGCCAGGAACTCATACTCGTCACTGATGTTAAAACTCTCTACCACCTATAAAGAACTTTTGTTGCTTACCTCTTCCAATCGTTTGCGTTCAGCCTCCCTGGCTGCTGCTTCCTTTGCTAATCTTTCCTGCTCTTCTTTCCACTGTTTCTCTTCCTCTAATCTCTCCAGCTCTTTTCTTTTCATTTCTTCAATCTCTTTATGAGCAAGTTCTTTTGCTCTCTTTTCATCCTCTTCTTCAGATTCTTTCTCTTTTTCTACAAAATAACAGCTTTATATCAGCATCAACTCTTCTACAAATGGATGCCTTTGCTTTACCTTTTTTCTTTTGTCTCTGTAAAATCAATGCTTGATCATTATTACAGGTCAGCTGTCCGGGCCCGTTTCTCGAAAGTCCTGGTAACTTTTCGCGCCCGAAATCAAGTATTCAAATCGAAATATAAAGAATAAGAGCGCGGGTCCTGGCTAGCAAACTACTCCATTTTGTTTCATTAACTGATAGTTTTATCACGTTAGATGCAAAACTATTGAAACCTCGATCTTTAATGTAAACGGAGACAGCTTACCGGGCCCGTTAATTATCGGGACTTTCGAGAAACGGCCCCCAGGACAGTTAAAACCATGATTACTCAGCCTAATATAACTTCCTTTTTTACTGAGTTTCCTTAAAATGTCATAATAAATGCATAGGAAGCAGAAAGGAGAATTCAATATCGTGAAACAACATGTGACCAAACTACATTGTGTAAGTGGGAAACCTGGGGTGTGCTAACCATTTATACAAACCACCCGAGTGGAAATCTTGTGCATAAAGAGAAAACTATAAAATTTGACACGGTAGAAAACAGGCAACAATGTATATCCAAATCAGCTGAACAGACTAAAACGAGCAGAAAAATTGCATCCCTAAAACCGTAGCCCTTGTCTTCTGAAGTTCTCCAAAGGGAAGGATGCGAACCATTAATTTGATTTTCCACCCAGAATTGCAAGTTTTCCCATGTAATGGTAAGTACCCCTGGACGCTGGAACTTAATCGGCCATTTTGAGGTCATGTATAAGACTGGGTCTATTTGTTTATTGTACTCAGGAATGCACTTGACCCCTTCTTTTATGCATCATTTTCACATTGCCTATACTTCATTTTGTTCCCCCCCATCAACATGTTGCATAAACCATTGCTTCGAATTTCTCCTGGGGATTACAGTCATCCCAAGAGAAATCGCAGACAATGCTTATGCAAAGTTTTGGGGGTACACAACAAAGGTGTGTTAAGGGTAATGTGAAAATGGTGAATTGGCTTACAAAAATTCAATAATATACCAACCCAGTCTCAGCTACAACTTCCCAATGGCTAACAGAGCTCTTGCATTGATACACTTTGCAGAGCTTTATGGAATTTTTCTTCGCATTATTCACAACCTTTACTTTATAGGTACACACAATGCTTGAAATTAATGGTAAATTAAATCCTGTCACCTTTAGTTTATTTAAATTTACTTTTGTTTTGCCAGTTTTACATTCTCTGTAGCAAATCACTAATAAGTACAAAGTACAACTGAAGTCAGTTACATTTATTTTTGTAGTAGGAGATAAGTATGTTCAATTTCATGGCTCTAGAAGAACTATTTCATTTTGGTGCATGCAGCCCTCCATGTCTCAGAGTCCCTGTGTCATGTTACTTAAGGCAGGTCTCCCAACACCCAATAATAATAACTAGATGCATCACAACATAAAATCATGGTTGAGTTTTGAATTCTCTAACTTACAAGACATTAACAAGAGAGCTGGTCCACTTACTTCTGAAAATCTCAAAAGAATCTGGCTTGTCATCTCCTTCCCCCAACACCCAAACCCAAGGATTTCCATCAGCAGCAATCAGATAACTTACACTCTTTGCATTTGCTGTGAAAAGGAAAATAGTTATGATATTATTATCCGTAGTTCCACTACTATTAATTTCACAGTAAAACTAGTTACTGCAGTGTAATTTAAGGCCCACTAAAACTAGCACATCCAGACATTGAGGCCCAGTGGGTAAGAAATCTTCATATGTGCAGGCCAAGAATGCTGTCTTTAGTTGGCTGCATCTACATGTAATTATTGATTGTTATGGTTTTTATGCATTCTTAACCCATCCACCCAAGGACATCTTCCCAAATAACACCGTCTGAAGCTAGTTTAATGCAACTTTCTGGACACAATAAAGACAAAAANATGTTTGAAGATACTGTAAAGATCTAACTTTTGCGCATCAACTGAGGTGTTTACGGCTTCGTGTTCACGCATGAATTTTCACCCGTCAATCAAACTAATGGTTTTTTAATGGTTTCCTTTCTGATTCTGTTGAGATCACTTCGTGTGAATATACTAAAACAATTATTCACCTCAGGCTCAGTTAATATTGTTGAATAATCCCCGAGACGAATAATTGTTAATTAATGAGTTCCCTTAAAATGTCATAATAAATGCATAGGAAGCAGAAAGGAGAATAGGCCATTTTACAGTTATGGATGGAAGCGAGGGTGAGGGTGACCTTGTTTTGATACAACCTTCTTTGCTTTGTTATGGAAATTGTTCTTGGAAAATACTAGTAAGCATAAGAATAACTTGATTTACATAATAAAGCAGGAAGGTTTGTATCAAAACAAGGTCACCCTTAGCCTCGCTTCCGTCCATAACTGTAAAGTGGCCAATTCAATATCGTGAAACAACATGTGACCCAACTACATTGTGTAAGTGGGAAACCTGGGGTGTGCTAACCATTTATACAAACCACCCGAGTAGAAATCTTGTGCATAAACATAAAACTATAAAATTTGACATGGTAGAAGAAAGACAGGCAACAATGTATATCCAAATCAGCTAAACAGACTAAAACGAGCAGAAAAATTGCGTCCCCTAAAACCGTAGCCCTTGTCTTCTGAAGTTCTCCAAAGGGAAGGATGCGAACCATTAATTTGATTTTCCACCCAGAATTTCCAGTTTTCCCATGGAATGGAACTTAATCGGCCATATTGAGGTCATGTATAAGACTGCGTCTATTTGTTTATTGTACTCAGGAATACACTTGACTCCTTCTTTCACGCATCATTTTCACATTGCCTATACTTCATTTTGTTTCCCCCCATCAACATGTTGCAAAACCATTGTTTCTAATTTCTCCTCGGGATTAAAGTCATCCCAAGAGAAATTGAAGACAATGCTTATGCAGAGTTTTGGCGGTACACAACAAAGGTGTGTTAAGGGTAATGTGAAAATGGTGAATTGGCTTACAAAAACTCAATAATATACCAACCCAGTCTCAGCTACTGCTTCCCAATGGCTAACAGAGCTCTTGCATTGATACACTATGCAGACCTTAATGGAATTTTTCTTTGCATTATTGACAACCTTTCCTTTATCGGAACACACAATGCTTGAAATTAATAGTAAATTAAATCCTGTCACCTTTAGTTTATTTAAATTTACTTTTGTTTTGCCAGTTTTACATTCTCTGTAGCCAATCACTAATAAGTACAAAGTACAACTGAAGTCAGTTACATTTATTTTTGTAGTAGAAGATAAGTGTGCTGAACCAAGAACTCATGCAGTTCCGTTGTTTTTAGAAACAAAACAGTTGCCGATATCGTTCTTGCTATTTGAGCAAATGAGCCTTTTAATGTATGAAGTCCATAATAATCTTGCTCCTGATAACATGAAGAATATGTTCATGAAACTGTCTTCTGTCCACAGTTACTGGACTAGATCTGTTACTAATGAAAATTACTATGTTGAACAAGTTAGAACTGAAAATATGAAGAGAGCCTTCTCTATTTCAGGCGATTTAATTCGGAACAGCATTCCACTTTCTATCAAAACACTCTAAAAAAAAATCAATTCAAAAGCGAACTAAAGAGAAAACTCTTTGAAATACTGGAAAAAGAGGACGGCTATATTAGAGTTTCTGATATTACAGGGCAATTCTCAAAATCGTAACATGGTGTATTTCCGTATGAAGTACAGTCTGCCTTCCTGTCTCACTCTGGCTATAAACCACATGACAAACTAGATTGCTTCTAGGATTGTTCGTTTAACATATATATATATTTATACAATTTTCCTTTTTTCTCTTGTACCCGCCTCGAATAGCCTTCGCTAATTGCGGGTACAAGCTTTGTAAGCTATATTTAATTTGAAATAAACTTGTTGTTGTTGTTGTTGTTGTTGTTGTTGTGTGTTCAATTTCATGGCTCTTGAAAAACTATTTCATTTTGGTGTACGCAGCCCTCCATGTCTCAAAGTCCCTGTGTCACGTAACTTAAGGCAGGTCTCCCAACACCCAATAATAATAACTGGATGCGTCACAACATACAATCATGGTTGAGTTTTGAATTCTATAACTTACAAGTCGTTAACAAGAGAGCCGGTCCACTTACTTCTAAAAATCTCAAAAGAATCTGGCTTGTCATCTCCTTCCCCCAACACCCAAACCCAAGGATTTCCATCAGCAGCAATCAGATAACTTACACTCTTTGTATTTGCTGTGAAGAGTAAAAGAGTTATGATATTATTATCTGTAGGTCCACTAAAATTAATTTCACAGTAAAAGTAGTTACTGCAGCGTGAATTAAGGCCCACTAAAACTAGGACATCCAGACATTGAGGCCCAGTGGGTAAGAAATCTTCATATGTGCAGGCCAAGAATGCTGTCTTTAGTTGGTTGCATCTACATGTAATTATTGATTGTTATGGTTTTTATGCATTCTTAACCCATCCACCCAAGGACATCTTCCCAAATAACACCGTCTGAAGCTAGTTTAATGCAACTTTCTGGACACAATAAAGACAAAAAAGCCAAACTACCCAGATGAGTTCATGTCAAGCTAAGCCTGTTGCTAGGTTTCTGCAGTCAGTTCCACATGTCCTGCATGCATGACTACTAGGCTGCCACCCATCAGGGTTGTTTAAACTTGGTAGTGTGATATAAAGCAGACAAGATCTATTATTTATTAACATAAGCAGTGCCGTAGCCAGACCAAACGGCCAACCGAGGCAGGCGGGAGTTGCTAGGGGGGTTCGGGGGCATGCCCCCCCCCCGAGAAATTTTGAACTTTAGTCTCTCGGAAATGCGATTTGCAGCGTTTTCTGGGCCTTTCGGTAACTTTTTTTCGAGTTAATTTAAGTGGAATTTAAAAAGCAATAATCAGAAACAAGCTACATAATCTGGGTGACCGTTAACCTCGCCAATGGTTTTGATCAGTATTTGTTCAAAAAAAATTTGAGTTAACGTACGTAGCCCCTTGAGATTGATGATATGGTAATTTTTTCATAGTATATTGACTGAATTGCTGAATTCTTTGTAATATCATGATGCGTTAAAAATATCCGATGATCGCTTATGTAAAATAAAAATGATCGGCGAAATGCGTCAAAATTTTACCGAGGCGACTGCCTCGGTTGGCCTCATACTAGCTACGGTGCTGATAAGGTACAAGATCACTGAAAAGTACTGACACTTCTTTAGACGTGGTCTTGGTGGGTTCTGTGCTTCTTTCTTTGCTAACTCATCTTCCCGTTCTCTCCATCTCCGCACTTGCTCTTCTCGCATCTTAACAAAGAGAATCTGCTTCTGTTCTTCAGGAAGCTCTGCCAGTAGCTCTGGGTCAACATACATATCACGCAGAATTTGGGCCAACATGATGACAACTTAGTTGATAAGAGTTTCTAAACCAAAAAACAGCAGAGGAAGACAAACGAAAAAGCTTAAAAAATGCAGGGCACGAAATTGTTCCCAATACTAAGGGGAAAATGTATCTAAATTTTTCACATTAGCAACTAAATCCTAATTGGGCTGCATGGCAACAAGAATACTTAGACTGCATCACCCTTTACTTTAAGACCTTCTGCATTATTGCAGAGATGCCAACCACAAGAGATCTAAAACTTGGAGACTGTCTTTTTTTGTGGTACTCCCCCAGTGTGACTCCATTACATGTACATGTATCAACTCAACCCACCTTAGCCCAGCCCCCAAATCACAATGTGGTCGTTTCTTAGGATGTTATAAGAAGTCTTAACCTAATGAAAATTAATAATCTTTATCAGTGATTAAATGCTAGCCTGCGAAAACATCCGTTTCTCCTCACTCTTTGCTGCTGGGGATGTTTCGCGTGGAGAAACGTCTGTGACTCAGCGACAGAAATTCCATACTGATGACATAAATCAATGTTTAAAAAATAAATCTGGAAGTAATTGGGTTTCAAAAGCACATTTGTTCAATTTTACGTTTCTCCTGGTCGATTTCGGTAAAGTGCTGTGTTCATCTACGAATGAAGACTAAATTCCACAAATATTGACTGTTTTGTTAGAGATTCGTCTCATTTACATTTGACCTTTGTGGCCTTTTGTCTTTTAATTTTCTGTCATTTGTAAACAATAGCTAAGACATGTGTAACTACTCCGTTGATCAATCAGGGCTTCTGACCAGATTCTAGACATATTTTACATCATCAGTATGGAATTTCTGTCGCTGAGTCGCAGACTTTCCTCATCGTGAAACGTCCCCTGCGGAGGGGAGCGAGGAGAAATGGATGTTTTCGCAGGCTAATTAAGTTCCAGTATGTGGAAAAATGCTTCCAGAAACCATACTTTAAACTTTTTAAAAAAACATTTTTTAAGGACGTACATTTGGGTTAAATTAGAAACTAAAACACAAAAAAGCTCAAACATTGATTTTACCCAGGGGATTTAATGAGCTGTTTGAAATGTATCTACTGATGGTCAAGGATGATCAAACAAAACTATTAATGAACACAGTCAAGTACTACAAGTTTGTAAAATATTTCACTAAACATCAAGTGCTTCCTATTCAACAAAAAATCCAGTTCGAAGTTTCAGAAATTCCATGTGCGCCATCGAACAGCATATTTGGGTTACACATACCCAACCCAAGCCACGGTACATTTGGTTCTTGTTCTTGTAAGTAGGATGCAGAAGAGTGGTACTGGGCAGAACAATTTTGTCAAATGGAAAGGGACATTTTGGTCCAACAAGTCGAAACGAACTGACTGGTCAAAGTGGACCAGTTTCACAATTCACAATTAGTTCATGTGTCAGCATGTGTATGTCGAGATATTGAACACATGGAAAGTGTTGGAGAGCATGAAAGAGGCCGCATAAGTTATTAAGAGTTGCTTGAGGCCCAGCCAAGAGTAACTCTAGCCTTTTGAGTGCTCTCCAAACTTCCCAAGTCTATTCATATTTTTTCCCTAATTTTGATCTGTTATCAAATGCATTTTAGAATGCCATCTACTGTGTACCTAGAATATTGAAATACAGTCAAGAAAGTAGAGTATTTTCTACTTTTTACAACTGCGATTAATGAGCTACTTACCTTAAGAGATGTAAACACAGTTTTAAGGATGGGTTTGTTTTAAAAACATTCCAATACACAGAAAAATGGCTGACAGGATGCTTAGCACAAAACACAGAACCCCAAACACCAATAAACAGCAGATGACATTGTTATGCATTCCAAATGGCGACCATATTCCTGAAAACAAGAGAAGTCCATGTTTCAACTGTCAGAATGGACATAAAACAATGTCTAATCATAAAGTCATTATGGTTTCTGAACACAGTTTTTCTAGGACTGTAGTGTGCTCTTTGAAATTCTCTCTGATGCCTGGATGAAAATGTGCCCATTAGTCACGCACCGCTTATCATGACATTTGAAGTGTTGAAAGGGCATTCACTCGATCTACTCTATGCCCAAGAAACCACAACCCCTCAGCTTTGAAGCCATTCTTGTTTTCCTGATCACTTAGTACAAATGTAATTATAAGTGGAAATAGAATACTTTCAAACGATTAGAAAAAGGGATTTCGCAGAAATTCTACAACATTTTTTGACTGCCGGGCATTTACTTTTTTCAAGACCCTTCCCGGCTGCCGGGCACATAGCCAGAGCAAATAAATTTAGGTAAATAAACAAGGGAAGTTGCAACAGTGGGAACTATGCGTGTAAGCTTATGTGGAATGCTGTATTTTTAAAAGCATCCCACATTCAACTTCAGCTTGTGCCAAAGAGGAATTAGCGACATTATTAATCAATAAGCTGTAGTTAACCTTTAAAAACATGTATCTACAGTTGGGTTAAACTTAAATGTTTTGGAATGAATATCCAGCAAAAATTTGCCTTTGATTTGATTTGGCCGAACAAATGGTCACGCAGTTCACGCAATGACAAACTAAAGGAAAACACAAAGTACACTGTTGACTACAGTGTATGAATAATTAGTCTGCAATTTTTCTTTCAGTTCTAACTTACAAAAAGATCCTTTCATAAAGCTGTTTTGAATGTGAAAAACATGAAATTGATTCAAAATTATTTCCGTATTAAATCGAGACATGTTAGTTCCTACTGAAATTTAAATGTGAAGAGACTGTGATCGATCAGGATCTTACGATTTCTTTTGTTTGTGTTAAATTTTACACATGTGTTTTTTGCGTGTATTTTGCGTGTAAATCGATATGAACGCCCTTTCATATAATTAAACTATTCAGAACAGATAACCTTATAGCACATTTTTAATTTAATGTTGATTTATCATTGCTTACAAACTCAGTATTTAAAGCAAGATACAAAAAAACAAAAAAATAAGAATCATGAAGTGATGTCATTGTGCATGAAGTCTTAGAATAGCGCTGTATTACGAAGGACTAAAGTGAAAAATCGCAGTTTTAAATATGCCAGGTAAGTGGCACTACTTGATTGTGTGATCAATGAAAACTGCTGCAATGTTGATTGAGGATGGGACATTTGCCCTCATTTTTTTGTCCCCACCGTGGGGCATTTGGCAGCTCAAGTGTCCCAACCCCTAGGAATTTGCCATCCAAGGCAAAAATATGCTAATGAAAAGGGTTGGCCTGAGAAGGGCATGGGTGCAGCTACAGGGCTCAAAGTTAGCAACTAACTGGTCGCATATGCGACTTGATTTTTGGTTGGGCACCTAAAAATTCATGTGTAATCGCACCTGTGCGCTGTAAAACCCAAAGCACAGTGGGACTGACTTACTTCCGACTATACTTACAAACTCGAACTAGAAAGTCGGTGTATGTTTAATTGGTCTTTTCTCCCAATGGATTCTACGAACTCGAATGTTCTTTTTCGTTTTGATGTTTTACTCCATCTCAGACTCTTCTGTTTTGTAATAAACACCACTGACACATGCAAATATATGCTACAAACGAAACACATACTTTTTGCGCAATGGACGATCATGTTGAACGTTCAGTTTAAACGTCATTCAAAACAAAAACAGTGCGGATTAAGAGCCTTTTTTCCAGGTAAGAAAGTTTTTTAAGTCGTATTCCAGTTACATGTAAGCCATTGCGCATTTAACAAATTCATTAAAGATTAATTTTCAT